CTATTACACTCCTTTTCCTTTTTTTTTATTTTTATTTGAACAGAAACATTTTTGCTTCTTTTTTTTTTTCTTTTGTTTTTGTTCTTTGGTCAAACCTTCATTTTTGCATGGTTAAACCCCCATTTTGGTACTCAACTATTGTACGGACCCCGACTTAGTCCCTCAACTCAAAAAATCCCTAATTTGGTCCCTATTGTTTACCATTTTTACCCCGCTTTGGTCCCTCCTTTAAAAATTTGCTTACTTGGCACGTTATGTGACGGAAGAACGATGACACATCAAAACACATTAATACAATGTGGCAAAAAATGATGACATGTCAAATGAAATAACAATTGTGCCCTTCTAATTAAACTAAATTATAACTTTGCCCTCAGATGAAATAACAATTTTGCCATCATCTTCTTCCTCTCATCTTGTCATACTCCAAGATCAGCAGCATGGCACCGACTCTAAAAATTGGCAAATCAACATACTCCCAGCAAATTACATCTTCTAAAAGTAACTTGTTTTTCTTTTATTCTCTTAATTATATTCTTAATGGCTGTTGAAAGTTACAAAACGCAAGTAAAAACCTAGATCTGGTTTACCATATTGCTCTTTTTTTCATCCCTATCTCATCAAAGACTTCAGAGTTCAGATCTGGAGATGTTTGAGAGTTCAATCTCTAGGTACTTTCATTTTCTCTCTCCCTTCCTGAACACCAAATCTGGGTTCAGTGAACCCATCAACACACAACACCTAAATCGTATGAGGAACCCACCATGCCGTGCAACAATCACACGAGGAACCCAGAGTCCCAAACCCCATCGACCTACCTTCTCGATAGTATAGCAATAAAAGCATACCCACTTCTTAGAGAAACAGGAATCAAGAGAATAAAATAACGAAAATAGGAAAGCTACAAAACCCAGATCTATAATAAAGAAACCCAGATCCATAACAAAAGGGGAAATCAAGATTAAATGATAAGGAATGGAAATTGTTGCAGAAGAAATTGGATGCGTTGTTGAAAAAACCCAGAGTTGCCAGCCAAGCTTTCCCATTACCGACTTTGTTCGTTACTCCCTTGTTATCTTTGCCTCCAAATCTCTTCACTGTCTTTAGCAACCCAGCGGCACCTGCTGGGCATCCCCCTCCTTGCGATTAAGGTAACGACTTCGGGCATGGCCAGCTCCCATAGTGTGACGGGCGGTGTGTACAAGGTTCGGGAACAAATTCACCGCCGTATGGCTGACCAGCGATTACTAACGATTCCGGCTTCATGCAGGCGAGTTGCAGGCATCGATCGAACCCAGGAGCGCCTGCTGGGTTCATCGATTAAACCCAGGAGGAACCCAGCGACGTTGCTGGGTTCGATCGATTAACCCAGGAGCGCCTGCTGGGTTCATCGATTGAACCCAGGAGGAACCCAGGAGGAACCCATGGACATTGCTGGGTTCGATCGATGAACCCAGGAGCGCCTGCTGGGTTCATCGATTGAACCCAGGAGGAACCCAACAACATTGCTGGGTTCGATCAATGAACCCAGGAGCGCCTG